TCTGTGTAGTTGACAGAAGTTTAAAAATATCCATTAAAATATTTGATATATTTATTCTGCTCTCCCATCTTATATTATTTACGGATTTCAATGTTAAACCAGTGATATTACGATTTGGTACGTCCCATTTTTAAGGGGAAGTAGAAAAAATCGTGTACAATTCTTGTATAATGTTAAAAAATTAACTGTTACCTTGGTAGCATCATTTACAACTAAATTTAATGAATGAGAGAGATGCACGAGGTACAGAAAAAGCTCTAGAATTTATTTTCCTTAAATTTGATATTTATGTATCCGTTGTCATAAAAATTTGTCTTTCCACTTTTTTCCAGAGACTACAAATATTCGAGTACAAAGTACCAGTTTTCAACTTATTTCTACTTAAACGCATTACGCCCATATCCCGAGTTAACTCGGGCAAGCTGCATAGCGTTACATAAATCTCGGGCATTTGGGCCCTAAAAAACATTTTTTTTTCAATTTTTGGATGTTTTTTTGTCTCCAAATTTTTTCAAAAATTTTTACCCCGGCGGAAAAATTTTACCGCGATTTTAATCAACCTTTAATGACGCGCGATTAACGCTTAATTGTTTTTTAATGTGATTTTTTTTATCAAATTTAATTAATCGTTCTAAAGTTGTTGTTCACGGATTTTACTTCGGTAAAGTTATTTAAAGCTAGTTTCTGATGTCAAAAACCACCTCCAATAATTTTTTAATTAATATATTTTATTATATATAAGTTTAATTAAATCGGGGGATCGGAAATCGCAATAAAAATTTTAATTTTATAAAAATATTTTAAAATATATTGCCAGCTAGTATTCACCCTACTTTAAACCCTTGTCCTCCCCAGACGTGTATGAGAATGTCCAGGGATATCGAACACCAGATGTTCTGAAGGTCATCCAGCTATAAACACAATGACTCATCAGTTTCAAATTTTGCAGAAAGGCAAGACAATGGAAAATAAAGTTTGAAGCTTTTTCTTCAAAATTAACGCATTTCTTTCGTGGTTTGTCAGTTTTAGATATATTTTATGTTTAATTGCATTAAAATCAAAAATAAGGTCGCAAGGGAGTTAAGAAGTAGTTAAATAATTAAGAGATTAGGTAATTAGGGACATAAATAAAACCCCGCTGAAAGAGCCAGAATATTACTTAAAAGCTTAACGGAGCCAATCTCTAGCTGAGTATGGTGAGAACTGATTTATTTGTAATATTAGACGTAATATAAGCAGAAATTTTTCCAGTTCGACGAGAGTGACCGAAAAGTTGTAAACTATGGAAACTTCCTTGGACACCTGGTCCTAAAACGAATTAGTTAGAAAACAAATGACTGTTAAGTTTAACAAATTTATATTTTTACAACTATGGTGAGAAACGTTTAAAATTTACAACAACCCTGTCACATCCTTTGAGGTATACTAATGATGCGACAAAAGACACATTTGACATTAACCGGTATCGATACACTCGGGATTTGGTTGCCTGTGTGCATGCATGCATTGAAAACCTAGCGGGACTATCTCTCCACTCCTAGAGAGCTATTAGACTAAGTGGTTAAGATTTAAACAGTAAGAATATTTTATGTTATTTTTACATTTCTTTACAAAGCTATATTTAATTATAATATTTTTAAAAGTACAGTATATTCATACAATTGAAGAATATTTTGTACCAGGTATGTATATCCACTACACATATTATTCCACCAAGTAAGTTTTTATAATTTTATTTCTAATTTTGACCCTTATATCGTGGCTAGCGGTTCAGAATGTAATTGCAATATTGAAAATTTATTTTTAAAAAGTTTTGGCTCAAAATCTTATTAATATAATGAAAAAAAAAACATCATTAAAAGAGAATGGCCAATGCCTAAGTTAAATATAAACACTTCAATAAAAAATTTGTTCGACATTTTCACGATAAAACGGCTCTGATAAAAATGAAAAAATTGTTTTGTTGGCTTGCCTACTATTTTCAAATGAAATTAGTGTGTGGAACAAGAATGGCTTTGACAATTTAGTTGGCAAAAGACACGAAAAATCATCGATTCTTTCGCATTTGAAGCAATTTGGAAATAAAAGCGGAATAGAATTTAACATTAGTAAATAATATAAAATAAATATTGAAAATTATAACGAGATAGTTACGGTTAATACATATACCTAAATAAATGAATGTTATATGTCATTATCAAAGCGAGAATTGCCATTTAGAGGGCATATGCAGTCTATTGAATCTAATAACAGAGGTAATTATATTGAATTTGTTTATTTATTAAATACGTCAGATAAATAATCTACTAAAAATACATTTAAAGAATTAACTGAGTGCCCCTGGATGTCGGCTTCTTATAGAAACACAGCTTCCCTATCGACATATGTCACGGCACGCCACTGATTCGTAGTTATATAAAACAAAAACTATAATATAATATAATATAATATAATAGAAGAATTAAAAGTCGAAAAATCTGATAATTTCAATGTTTGTTGTTATTTTTTGCTTGAGAAACCGAGCTCATCTGCCAGTTAATTATATTTTAAACTCGACTATTAAGTGATATTTCTTTTAGTAGTGTACGAATAAATTTTTACTAAAAATATAAGTAAAATATTTTAGAAATCATGTTAAATATATTTTTCTTATATTGCAGGATACCTGTTGCTTTACTTTTTCCATTCGTGGTGATATGTTGAAAATTATTCGTATAATATTTATATTTTAAAGCATTATTAGTCGTCAATAGAAGAATGTAAATCCATCCTTATAATAATAAATAGATCTCAGCATCACTTAGAATCATAAGAAAAGAAAAGAGGAAGAGAAATATAAAAATTTTAACTGGAATTTATTTTTTAAAGTAAACCAGTATCATAGTATAAACAAATAAAGATTCAAACATATTTTTAACCATTTCAAATAGAGAATCTCTTTATCTTACGATATAAATATGATACATAAAGGTAAGAATGTTTTAAAATTAATTCATAAATATGCGTTACTCCGAAAACATCTATTAAATTGATTATTGAAATAAAAAACAATTTGAAATAACTATTTTTCATAAATATCTCCTTTTCGTTAATATTTGGTGTTTTTTTCGCAGCTAGAGGAATAACGCCTTTTACACTTGTCCACACACAGTCTTCTGCTTTAAATATAATAAAAACATATACAGTAGAGTACTAAAAGGCTTTGAAATGCTTTTGAATACAGTACTCTCTTCGTAGTTCACCCTTAATAATCCACCCCGTCTGAATTATCTAGCTTATTTTCTAGATTGATCGTTTATGATCTGTTTAAATGCAAAGCTTAGTCACAACACACATCCTGTTTTCTTCACAGTTGTATACAGTGTAGCATATCAGATGCGATGCCTTATTTGTCTATTTGCCTGCAAACATGATCAGTATTAAAAGATGACACATAATGTTATTTATTTATTTTATGAAAGTTTTAGCACTAAATACATTTAGTAATCCATCAGTTTCGCTGATTTGGTACCAATACATAAAAAATGCAGCAGCTCACATTTATCTTACATTTTATTAAATTTTTATGTTATATTTAAATTTGAGAAATGGTTCTTTAATAGAAATATAACGTAAACAATAATATTCTGTGTAAATGTTGTAATTACTCTTTCAAGCTTTCAATTAATTATATAATCTTATATTTATATTCTTTACATTTATTGAAATTTTAACTTTAGTTGTTGAAATCTTACAAACGTTTTTACTTTAGTTCCTATTCCAACTCGTTACGTAGTGGTATTGTCTACATTTTTTATACATGTAATAGCGTACTGCCAAAGATCTGTGCTGAGTATCGCTATTTTAGCCATGGTTAATCATTCAGCCATCCACATGCATAATACCNTCTAATTATATACATATATATATATACATACACAATACGGTATATGTACAATTTAATTCTATTCTAGTGAATTCTGCAAAGTGTAGTTCATGAAACAGAAGGATAATGAATGACATCAGATATTTCATGTCAAAAGGCATGCAGTTTTTCAAACTTTTTAAAAATTCATATTAATTTACAATTTTCTGATTTAAATAAAGATGAACAAAATTAACGACAAAAATTTTAAAACCAATTAACCATTAATGAAAAACTGACTTAATATATTGGTATAATTAATCTAACTTTCTAGGAATACCTTACAATTACTATTCACATTTTCAGTTCGAGGGCAGATGTTAATGAAGTAGATATAAATAAACAATTAGTATTACAGTTTTAAAATAAAAACAAAGTGTAAAAATATTTTAATTCTTGAAGTTAGACTATTTACAAAAATATATTAATATTTTCGAGTCTATCATTAAGTCCTTTTACACAAACCACAGAAGACACAGTTACATTGGTTAGAAGATAAAACTTCGTTAGAAGATAAAACTTCTTTAGAAGATAAATAATAAAAAGGTAAAAATTCACAATTAAAAATGATCAAACGCCAGCCTTTTATTGTAGGATCTGACGTTTTTTACATTAAAAACTTAAGAATCTTTTCACCAATTATCAAGTCATTTTCCAAATTTTATAACTGGTTCATTCCTCTAGTGGACTGATAGACTCGAAAATATTAATATATTTTTGTAAATAGTCTAACTTCAAGAATTAAAATATTGAAGAATGTCCTGAGTTAATCATTTAAATATTATTATAAAAAACTGTTCAAATAAACAAAGACAAAATGAAAGAAATACCTTAGCTATAAGTAGAAAAATCTGCATAATTTAATTCGTAAAGCTTCAATTATATTGAATATAAACCAGTAATTACATTTACTTTTAGGAATCTTACGTATGGACACAACCCACTCAAGGAATAATACTAGGAAGTTATTTTTATGGTTTCGTGGTAACTCAACTTGCAGGAGGATCCATTACATTTTCACTTGGACCAAAGAAAACTGTCATAATTTTCTCCTGTTTATCTTCAATACTGATTATTTTGACACCCTTTTGTGCAGATGTCGGCGTGTCAGTTATATCATTATGTCAAGCCATTGTCGGATTAGCACAAGTAAGAATAAAATTTACTATTGTCATTGCAAACCTTATTTATAGCATCCTATTCAAAAATTATTTTATCACAGAGACTTGTACTTCACGGATCTTTTACCCTATTAGGGAGATGGATTCCAAAAAACGAAAAGTCAATATTATCCTCAATTTCTTTTTGTGGTAATCAACTCGGTTCAGCTGTTGGTTTAATGACAACAGGATATCTTTGTGAACATACAGGATGGTCTTCCAGCTTCTACTCTTTCGGTGAACATAAATAAAACGATTGTTTTTTCAATGCTAAAATGCGACAGTACCATTTCTAATCTATATATTTACAACAGGCGTATGTGGGATTGTTTTTCCATTATGTCTTACGTTCACAATTTATGATAGACCTCAACAACATCCCAGAATATCTGAGAAAGAACTGGAATTTCTTAACGAGAGCATACGAAACATCTCGTCAAGAGAAACGGTAATATCATTTGTTATTTTACTTTATTGACTAAGCTCTCATAAATACATGTTTACTTAAAACAGAAGTTGAATATACCCTGGAAACAAATTTTAACATCCAGAGCAGTATGGATAGTAGCTTTGACGAAAATTTGTTGGGGTTTCGGTTATAATGCAATATTGACTAAATTTCCATCATACTTACATATCATTCAGAACTTCCCTATCGAAAAGGTATGACGATTTCTATACATAAGTCTTATATCACCAAATTTATGTATATTATTTTTGTTTAGAATGGAATAATGAGTGCATTAGTGTGTTCTACGGATGCCATATTTATTTGTGGTTTTATTGCTGATTTCGTGAAATCTCGTGACTATTTAAGTATAACTAATATTAGAAAATTTTCCGAAGGAATTGGTAAGGAACTGCAATATCGTAATTTTTAAATTAAATTCTAAACTTTCTGGCATTATATAATTAACTATTTATATTGTAGCTATGTTTGGTCCGGCAGCATGCATCTTAGCAATTTCATTTTAGGCTGCGAAAGTACAAAAATAATTATTTGTTTAATGGTTGGAATGGGATGTTTCGGCTTTAATAATTCGGGAGATGTTGCAATAGTGCTTGATTTAGCCCCAGAATTTGCAGGTGTCATTATTTTTCTTAATTTCATAACAGAATACGGTATTCAGTGAAATCGGAAACATTTTTCGAAAATAATTGTGACTAAAAGTCAAAGTGAGATGTTCGGTCTGAGCAAATTATGTGTAAGAACCCGCAAAGCCAGAAAATCGATCGTAGTCATACGTGGCATTTTAAACATCTTATTTATTTTGCTTAACTTAAGAATAGACACAATATAATATAAATAGTACAGTACAACTGATCATAGATTACTGAATAAAACCAGCCGAATCGCTGAGAATACTAAGGATCCTGTTTACTGCTCTTAGAAATCCAAGATTCAATCCCAAAAACAAACCCAAAAAATTTTGGAAGTGATCTGTCCCACCAACATAGCACCATGGTTTTGATATACATCATATGGGAAATATATATTGTGGTTCTAACCGAATTCACTATACACCAGAAAAAACGCTCACATGGAATCTATAGAGCAGAAAGAGCGAAGTATGTTATTAAATAATGTAATAAGTATAAATATCCGTTGAAACAAAAACTGAGTGTGATTTCATACAAATCTTCAATTATACGCTATTAACACTGAAGATGAACTTAGTTAAATGATAACGTAGGTCTATACTTAATTTAGCATAATATAAATATTGTCGGTGAAGCTAAGTGCGTAAGGAAAGGGAACACAACTTTACTTGAGACAAATTGCTGTTAAATCAAAAATATTTTCTCAAGTATTTAAATGAGATCTTAAAGTATATCGAAATATTCCTTACACTAATATCAATACAAAATTGCAAACATTATTCGAAGTCTATTAATTTCATTTTTTTTTTCTAGGTGTATATTTCAATTCTCTCTGACTTTTTTCGTACGCTTTAAGATGATGCCTGCAATCTGAATAGAAAATTTTCATACTTTTAATCCGTACTCTTCATTCCTCAGTTGCTGATTTTGTCCTGATGTATACTTTGACCTCATGCTCATATTTAATATTGTTTAAAGTTATAAACAAAGTACAGTAGACCCCTATAACGCGGGCTCATATAATGCGGATTCGTATAGCGCGGCGAAAAAATTGCGACCGTATAATGCGCTAACAGAGACTCATAAAACGCGGTAAAACGTCATCGCCGACTCGTGTCGCAACAGGATTGGTCGAATGTGGACCAACAGTTGATGAGCCGCCGAACTACTTACATGCTACAGAGAGTTTAGGCGCGTAAGTTGAGTTTACTATTGTCTGTACAGTATATAAATTAGGTACTGTAAGTCTAATACAGTATTGTAATTTAATACATTTCTTGTGAAAAACATTTCTTATTCAACGGTCATAAAAAATGATTTCTATTAATGATTTCTCCAAAGTTCAACAAATTTTTCGCAAAAAAATACTTATCAGAAATCGCGCCCGCCGATTGGTGCGCCGCTTTGCGACGAAAACAAGCTTAAGCAATGGCGTCGTCGAACGGTACACTCTCGGTAAGTAAACCTACAATTTTTGTTTATAGCATAGTTTATACGGATTATTCCCAAAAAAAAATTATACGTGTTTTGAAAATGTTGAGTCAAATTAGTCTAGAATCGATTAATTTCATGGAAGAAAACTTTTCAAACAGCCGTAGTCCGTAAACTGCACACGTGTCGGGCTGTGATTGGCTCATGTATTTAGGATTCCTACAACGCGAAATTCGTATAAAGTGAAACGTATCTACCGCGTTATAGAGGGTCTACTGTAATAGAAATCTAAAGTAGCCGACCTGTTGGAGATTGGTAACTTGAAATCACACTTCTTGGATACCAGTGTTTTGCCAATTTTTAGAGGAAATCAATTAATTTTGTCAGTGATGGTCTATGGTCTATTTGTGAGTAGGGGGTAGTGAAGAAGACAGTGTCTGTAAGTGTCTAACATAAAACCGTTTAATTTAACTTAAAGGTGACATCCAATATACAAAACATTTCGTTCTAGAACAGGGGTCGGCAACCTTTTGAGTCGGAAGAGCCAAAATTACAATTTACAAAATTTCAAAGTTTTTAAAGAGCCACAAAATTTTTTCTTGCCAACAATAAATAGTACTCACATACATAAAGTTTTTTGATAAAAAAAACTAATCTATTTATTCATAAGAAAAAATATCTATTTATTCATATATAAGTAGTGTTTTTCGCAACAAATTACATAATAGAAACATCCGACGACGGCGTCATTCGAGAGCTTCCAACGGACTGACGACAGTGACGACGCGTGTCACGGGGGAGGGGTGCGGTGAAAAGCGAGTACAAGTTGCTCAGAGATAGAATCAGTGCCTAATCCTCGTTAATCGATTCAGAACGATTTTTAAATGTTTTTTTTTTTTTGATAAAATAAATAATATTTGCGTATGGAACTAAAGAGCCGCAGCTTCACATCCAAAGAGCCGCATGTGGCTCCCGGGCCGCAGGTTGCCGACTCCGGTTCTAGAACGATCGGCGGTTCCGAAGTTTTGGGCGTCGATGTAATTTCTTTTATGGTCGATCGAATGTGGCCCCATAGCAGTGGCAATTACAACTCCATAAGGCAGCTTGGGAGACTCTATCGATAGTCGTTGGTGACACGATTTGAACCTGTAGTGGCACAGGTTAGAGACTGGCACACTAGACGAAAAACTACGTTTTATGCGTTAATACACGTCGTCTTCTTTATTTTAAACTTCATTCTCTTTGACGAGATAACTCGTCAAGTATACATAGCGTTACGAAAATCTCGGTCGTTAAGCCAACTTAAAATTTTTTTTTTTATTTTTGGAATGTTTTTTAAGTCTCCAAACTTTTTCAAAAATTTTTACCCGCGCAAAAAAATTTTATCTCGATTTTAATCAATCTTTAATGACGCGCGATTAATGCTTAATTGTTTTTTAATGCGGTTTTTTAATTAAATGTAATTAATCGTTCTAAAGTTGTAGTGCACGGATTTGACTTTGGTAAAGTTGTTTAAAGCTACTTACTGATGTCAAAAACAACCTCCAATAGATTTTTAATTTTTCTAATTAATATATTTTATTACATATAAGTTTAATTAAGTCCGGGGGTCGGAAATCGCAATAAAAATTTTAATTTTTTAAAAATATTTAAAAATATAGGTCTAGATAGTATTCACCCTACTTTAAACCTTTCTCCTCCTGAGATGTCTATGAGAATGTCCCGGGAAATCCAACACCAGCTGTTCTCAAGGTCATCCAGCTGTAAACACAATGACTCATCAGTGTCAAATTTCACAGAAAGACCAGACAAAGGAAAATAAAATTTGAAGCTTTTTCTTCAAAATGAATGCATTTGTTTCTTTTTTTCAGTTTTAAGTATTTTTTATGTTTAATTATAATTAATTAAAATTTGATCGAGAACTGAGAGGTTAATTAACTAGAAATAACTTGATATATAGAAAAACGTAATATTACGTTTTCTGCGTTTTATCAAAGACTTCACGAAATGTAATATTACGTTTGTAGCAGGGTAAGTGGTAAAAAGGTAAATCAAAGTAAATGAGATCAGTATTTCTGAAAGGTCCGAACCGTCACTAAATCCGCAAAAATCGGTAAATTTAGATAAGAAATTTAATTGTTTAGAAACATTAGAAAGAAATGTCTGTATCCGGAACCCTCTCTTTGTATGCAGAAATCATAAATCGTCCAAGGAATTTCGCCCTGTGATCAAGGATAGATCGAATTTGGCTTTGATTGTGACCTTTCTCCTGCTCCAGGTAAGTGTCCTGATACGCTTAGTAACAAGGGAGAATTACCAATCAGAACAAACAAAAAAAGGGAGATTAATATCACTTCTTTCTTTTATCCGTTCTGATTAATTCTTTCTCAATCACGCTTCACTAGTGGATGGCACCTAGTTACTAAGCGTATCGGGACTCCTACTTGGAGCACGAGTAAAATCACAATCGAAGCCAAATTCGATCTATCCCCGATCATAGGCATTGCAACCATTTATTCGCAATATTATGTCTGAATCACATTAATTTCTTGTAATCAAGAATA